TAAAGATAAAATATAAAGAAAAATAAAATAAAAAAGAAAATAAGGAACAGTTTTTATAAATAATATTTTAAAGAATAATAGTTAATAGTTATTTTATTAAAGAGTTTTTAATTAAACAATTATTACAAGAAGCTTTTTATATATATAAAAACAGTATTTCCAAGAATTGTCCTTTTAGAAAGCCAAAAAGCTATCTTTTTTATAGCTTTTAACCTAATAATTGATTAGTTTTAGAGCTACCATGTGTTGTAGCATCATCCTAAACCATATGGATGTCCAAAATATAGCAGAAATTAAGAAATTCCATGTGCATTTTACCAATAATGCTTGTGTACAAATAATAAACCAATCCTGTATTTTTCTAATTTTACTAATGCTTGGTGCTCCATTGTGCAATAACTTACATATTAACTAAAAATAAAATAAATATCATTGTATAGCCTATATGTTTATTTACAAAACTCTCTATAGTTATTAGTGTTTAGAAGCCTTTTTACAGGTGTTTCCCTAAGCACAACTAAAAAAAAACTATAGTAATACATAGAAACTATATAGTAACATAGTAAATATTGCATTATAATTAATAAATATTAATTAACTATAATTAAATTAATTGTTTCATCATTTTAGAGTGTTCTGAGGCACCTGGAGCATCTGGATCATGATCTGAAGCCTTTGGTCAGGATTCTTGTAACACTAAACAACTGTATTTTTAGATATTCTAACAACTATTGGCTATAATAAAATATTATAAGAAATTTACTAATAAAGTAAATATTAACCTATTAAATAGGGGATTAAAACTAATAAAATAATCTATAAACTATATAAAAATATTAGAAAAAATATAAAATATAATATAGAGTTAAAAATAAATATATACTAATATAGAAAAAAATAAAATAAATTCTATTACAGTATCTAGTATAGAATTTATATAGCAATATATAAGCAAACTACTTAAATTAGGTACCAAAAGTATATATGTAACTAGTTGCAATCTCCAATATAAGGTAGTCTCTAGTGGCATGCCATATTCTATATATTTAAATAAAAATATCATATTTCAAAAATAAAGACTTTAACAAAAAATTAAAAAATTTATATTAATAAACAATTATTTATTAATTAAAAAAATTATAAAGTTGTATGAATAATTAGTTGTATATTATTTTTATAATTGCCTCTGTAGTCATTATATAAACAGCTATTAGCTGAAATATATTATTAATAAAATCCTAACTTACAAATATTTACTTTAATATTTAAAAAATAATTATAAATTTTATAAATAATTTTTTTTTTTTTTTGGTATTAAGGTAAGGTCTTACTTATATCTTTATTAGTAATTATAGTTATATATATTAATATACTATATATTAAAGATATACTAAGATTATAAAATACAAAATAAAAACTACATGCAAGAAAACTTTGATAACTTTATTTGTAAACTAAACTAACTATAATGATTAAGATCTATCTAGATTTGTAATATTAGAATATAATTGAAAGCTATGCTATAATTAATTCAGAGTATTGACCATATATTGATTTTCCTAATAGTCTGCTTAATTGGTAAACAAATATTAGATGTAAGTATAATTGATTTGTTATTTCATATAAACATGAGTATATATAATTTATATGTAATCTTTTGTGATATCTAGTTTGTTATATCTGTTGTGAAGTATTGTAAATGTTATGAGTTTAAAGAGATGTAATATTGTTATTCTTTTTCTAATTAGAAAGGTTGATGCAATATGATTTTCATATTTGGTTATAAATTTGATTATTAATATCAAAAAGTATTTGAATAATAATTTATAAAACTATCTTAATTGATATATTATAATTTTAAATTGTTTCAATTAAGTTTTTAGATATAAGGTTTTTAAAATTAAAATCTAGATAAAAAAAATTTGTTTAGAATACTATTTGGTTAAATGAAAAATATTTTTGAATTTTTTAAATAAGTTCATAAAACTGACTAGTAGATAAGTCAAGATCTGCTTTAAATAAAATATACTAAATTAATGAATTAATAATATTAATAATAAAAGAAGAGTTGAGACAAGTTAGTTAATATAAATAAGAGTTAGAAAGATTATATTAGAAACAGTTAGTATTTATAAAAATAGTTAAATATATGTTATAAAAAGAAAAGTATATTGATAGTTTATTTAATAAAATTTTAATTTTAAAAATTTTAAATTAATTAAATTTGAAACTAATAAAATTAGATAAAAATTTTTGATTATGATTGAGATATAATCATGTCAATTATCAGTCTATGTAGTGCTTAAAATGAGACTATTCATTATTTCTTTTTTATAAGAATCATATTATTAATATATGAGTTTTACAAATATTTTTGATAAAATATCAGATAAGAAACTTAATAGGATTTTGTTCTTATTATAGAATATTATAAATATTTGTATATTAAAAATTTAAAAATAGAAAGAAGATATGTTATTTTGTTAAAAAATTAAACATGTTATTGAAAATATTATTTGTATAAACTTGAACTTTATAAAAATTGATATTTAAATTGAAGGATTTAATAATATTAAGAAGTGTATATTATAAAGATTATGTATTAAATTTAAAGAATTTATTAGGATTATAGAGTTGGATAAAGAATTTGTAGAACTTAGAAATGATTAATTGTAAGTTAGTATAAATTTAAAATGTTGTATTATGAACTATAGTTAAAATTGTAGATAGAATAAAGAAGATCTCTGACTTATAAACTAATAATTAAAAATAGATTTTAATTGAAAATTTATAAAGAACTTGATTGTTACTATCAATTTGGACCTATCCAATGTCTATTGAACTTTGTTCAGTTCCAATATTTGATACTGATTCATTAGTATAAAAAGTAAATTTCTTATATAACAAATTGTTTTGAAAAATTTCTTCAAATTTGTTTGAATAGTTATTGGATTTAAAGAATTCTGTGATAATAGAGTTTGAATAAATAAATTTTATTATTAAATCAAATATAATATATTTTAATATAACTTTTTTTACTAAGTGCATCACTTTTAAAATTCTAAATAAAGTTGTAAAACTCATCAAGATACATTTAATAACAGTGAAATCAATAAATTAATCTAGTAGTTTCTGAAATATTCTTATATATATATATAATACAAAATATTTTTTAAAGATATCTCAAAAACTATTGGAACAATTTTACCAGTCTCACCGCCATTAGATGCGTCTTGATGAGTTTTACAATTTTACTTATAACTCCAAAGATGGGTTACTTAATAAGAAAAAAGTGCACCAATTGAAAATTTTATATATAAATCTCGTGTAACTTGCATCACATAACTAATAAATATCCAAATTTTGAAAACAATAATAGCTTTAAACATTTATAATTTTAAATCTTAAACTTTTTAAAAATTCTAACCAATAATTTGAATAGACTAATAAAAAAACATTTTTCAAAAAATATTTATAACTTAAAATTTTGTAGATTTTTTTAAAAAAACATGATTTTTGATAACCTGCCGCACCATATATATAAATTTTAAAATTACGTATAAAAATAATTAAGATATCTATGTAATATGACAAATTTCATTCAACCCACGTATAAATAATACATGCTAAATAAAAAAATTAAATAATGAATAACTAACTAAATTAAATCTTAATCATATTATCTGTGATTAATACCACAGTTACTTGTATTGGTATCTTAAAATTATGCTTACAATTCTAACCTTAAATTAGCTAACTCTAAAATAAGAATTAGGTAATCACGACCGATGTTTATATATATAGATATATAGTTTTGACCATATCGATATATGTATAGTAAAAATATTAGCATATCGATATACTGATAACTTAAATTATTATAGCTTTTTTTTTATGAAACGTAGTCTACAAACACTTCTAATTTTGTTTAATTGCTAAAAAAGAAATTGTCATTAAATAGAATATTTACGTTTTTATAATATCCAAAAATCTCCGGCAAAATTTTTTAACCATTAAAAATATATATTCGATTTGATCAATTTGTTCGTATTTTATGGTATTCCGTAAATTCATTTATATTATCGTTGTTATCAAAAAGAATGTGTTTCGCAAATTAATTCTGTTTATCAATGGTGTTACGCAAGTTGGGTATTCTGATACAGTAGGACAGAAATTGTTAAGTATCACAATATTGCATGACAAAAAGTCACCAACTTAATATAAAAACTTTGTTTCTCTTAATATATTCCTTATTCATCGTTTACCCACTGGCAAAGCGTCTGCATTTAACAACCTAGGCATTCGGCGTCCTTTTGGCTTTCCTCCCTCTTTGTATGTGTCTTTGAAGCGATAAACAATCAGCCAACTATGGGGACCGTTAACGGTGGAACCATTATCAGCTTCAACCCTAACCCTCCTTCTTTACATGCCGTATCCAGCCGAATGCCTTCGCATCATCCTACGGGTTGTGCAAACTTCACATTTCAAATTCCCACAAGTAAGTGAAGAAAGCTGTCTGGAACAAATGAGTTAACTTCCTTTTGGGATGTTAATTCAAGCGTTGTGCTTACGTAGTTGCCGGTTGCTGTTCATCTTTGCATTTTTGTTTTCAACTTTTAGTTATTGATGCAAAAAATCACAAGTTACTAATTTTTTTTAAATAATGCTTGAACACTTACTTTATATATAGTCGCAAACGCTGCGAAGAAGTAAGCTACATTTCTTAATTAAGATTGAATCTTTTATCAAATATGGTGGATAGCATAAGCTCTGAAATAATTGTTAAAATTGAATTAGTCGTTTGTATTTTTGCAGTGTAAAAAAAAAAAAAAAAATCGGTAAGCTTATCAAAGCCAAAACAGAAAATAAATTATGTAATATAAACTTAAGTGACTAGTTTAACAATTATTTTAAGTGTTGGTTACGCTGTCCCGCACCATATATCACCATACATCATGCATTAGTTCATATTCATGTTCATATTAAATAAATTTCGTCTAATGAACAGGAATACTAACTCTGCTGAAAGACGGGCAAACCACAATGCTGTCGAAAGAGCACGACGGGAATGCTTGAACACCAAATTTCAAGAGCTTGCCCATGCACTACCTTCCTTAGCGCAAGTTCGTAGACCTTCAAAGTCAATAATTGTGCAGAAATCATTAGATTTTATTTATACATCTCGCCAGAAAGATGATCTGCACGATAAAGAGATGCGAAGCATTCGAAGTGAAAACGAAACGCTACGTGAAGAGGTCAACAGACTAAGAGAAAAATTAGGCCTAGAACCTCTACCACCGCGTGAGGAGTCTAAGCCAATACTTCAACAAATTGATGAAGTTAAAGAGGGCGCCAACACCAACACAAAATCAAACACGCCAGAAATAAAAAGTGAAGCTGATAATAATCCCACCACCACCAATGCGCAGGAGTCGGCAAGTTCCGTTACAAATATTAAATTAGAAGATTCACGTTCTGACGATGATTGTAGTAACGGGAACACCGATGATGATTACGATTTGGACCAATCAGATCTGACAGATGGCAAGAGTACTGAGGACAATCAATTAATTGAAAACCAACCATGTTTATATGACCGTATGTATATATTATATCTGTTACACGATTACTTTTATCTTTTCAACTTTATTTTTGCAATTTGGTTCAATTAACAAAAATTTTCAAATTTCAGCTATAATGTATAATCCGCAATTGTTAGATCCAAATTTGAACCATCACACTGATTATTCAACGACAGGATTTGGATTCCCTATGGATATGACATCAATAGATCACAACATGTATTTTGATCATGATCAATTAATAACAAATGATATTAATCCATTTTGCAATCCATTTCACCAAAAATTTTATCCATCTCCACCATACGAAGAAACAACACCAGCGGCGACAATGCTAGACCTTACTGGGCAGATACCGGGCTTTCCCATGAATACCGAAAGCTCACATGTAGATTTTCATTCATAAAATCTACTATAATTATAATTAATTTTGTGAAATATTTTAGACTTTTTCAGTGGACTGGGTCGCTGCTATTTTTTTTTTAAGGAACTTTGGCTTAACTTGCGTATATCTTATAATTTATTAAATATGTTTGGTTTTATTTTCTGTATTATCAATAGATTTCTCTTCTTTCATTTGCGTTCATTTTAGACTGATTTCACCTTCTCTCCCCATAATTTAATTTTTGTTATATTTAACGGCTGATTGTTTATCCACCAAAGCTAAATTTTGGTCTTGTTTATAACCTATTCATTCTTTTTAATGTATACATTTTGTGACTAATAGTGTTTGCCATTCATTCCAAGTCTATAACATATTTGTACTCAACACATTTAAATAATAGTAATTTATTCTATTCTTACATTTTGTACTGTAGGTTATTATTTTTGGGTATTATCAATACTACATACAATTTCTCTTATATCTTGATGCTTGGGTCGAATTTTTCATACTATATAATAATTTTTGGCTTATAGTTAAGAGAATCATTGTGTCTTTTCAAAAGTGATCCATTGGTACTTGATTGCATTGTTTTATAGTTGTGCATGAGCTATCTTTGATTACGTATAACTATTTATTTATCTACAAATACAAGACTTTCGTAATTATATTTTGGCAAATTACATACGTTATCTTTACCTTTTTAAACTTTGCCAAATTAATATCCTTCATTTATATTAATATATATTTAATTATTGTTATAATAAAATAGTGTGCGCATCACGGTATGATAAATGTAATACGTATAGAGTTTTTAAAGTTAGAATATTATCCTTTATTGCAAACTTGATTGATGATCTCTATTAAGCGATTATTACTTGTCGGTAAAATCTTCTGGATTTAGCAATGATTCAATGACAAATAATACATTTTCGGAGCTTAATATTTCCAGATACGGCTAATTTAATGACATCATCAAAGTTTCAGGATTAGAAAGGCTAGGTACATATCACTCTCTTTATAGTGAGCCCTCGATATTAGTGAAGATTCGATATAGTGAAAATTTTTACAAAAAAAAAGTTATTAAAATTCAGCTCGATATTCATATATTATTCACTTCATATATTCTTCACTCATTATATGTTATAGTGAAGATTTTATAAGGAGTGATATGTATTTATGTATCACAGTCTCGTGATTTTAAACTAATCAAGGCACAGGATCATGCGTAGAAACAAAACATCGGGGTTTTCAGTAACTAGGGATTAATCGTTTAGTCGGCCAATTGGCAACTAATCGGCTAACCAACTAATCAACCAATCGATTATTATAGAACTCATACAGGGGGATCCCCAAAATTCCGGGTCGGAATACTTCGGATTTAGGCCTGCATTGGGTTCCGCAGCCCGGGCCGGGCCTGAAGCAAAATTTTATAATTGCGGGCCGGGCCGGGCTGAAGAAAAAATTTAATATATGCCGGCAAAAAAATTTTAACCCTAAATGCGGTCTCAAAAATAGGCAATTTGCAGGCCTCTAGTCAGAATCACTTATAACTAGCACTAAGGCAAAATTTTAAGGCATGCTTCTCATATATTGCCTAGGTGAATATTCTACAGACAGAGCAGAATCATGTGATTGGTTAATTGGCAGTTAGGTTTAAATTTTTATTATTCCTTAATCTGTAAGCTTTTCTAAGCAAATTTGCCTGAAAAATTATTAAAAATATATTTATAATTTATTTTTTTTAAATTTTAAAATATTTAAATAAAATTTTATTTAATAATATTTGAAAATAAAGATTATATTATAGTAATATTTAATAAGAAAAAAATTTTTTTTTTAAATATTAATGATGAGATTATGACTTTAATTTTATTGAAATTCAATTGAAGTTTTTACAAAAAAAAGTTTACTTTTAAATTACATATAAAGAATAAAAACTCAGATATATAATTTGTAATCTAAATTTACAAAAATAGTCAAGTCTCATCTAGATTTGAGTATTAATAATAATATATAAGAAAGAAGTATAATATTTAATTTATTGGATAATCTAAAGATCAATTTTAGTAATAATTTATAGTATTAAGATAAGAGATAATAATAATCTAGAAAGTGAATTATGAATTAAGTTTGTAAAAGATATAATTTGAAACTGTACTGAATATAAAATACAATATAGAATCCATATTTGTTTATATATTTGTTAGTTTAAATAATGAAGAAATTTAATAAAAAAAGAAATAACTATATAGTAAGTAATAGAAGTATTATAAATGAAGGAACTCTTTCTGTAGATCACTTTTACAAATTCTTACTAAAAATATTTGATCTTTTCTCAATAATTTATTAAGCAAATCTTACTTGTGCTCTTAAATAAAGTTGTTCAGCTCACTTTTCTCATTCTAGCTGGTTGGGTTTTAAGTCTAAAAATCTCTTGGTTACTAAGAAAAGTTCCAAAAACTAAATCTTTAGTTTTTGTTTCTTTTTTAAAAATTTTACTAATTAAACATACTCTGTTACCTATTAGAAAAACATTCAGCTCTTTAAGGTGATCATTTTGATATATATTTAATTACAAACAGATTGGAATTCATCAAAATACATATAAAAAGGCAAAAACTAAAACCTGTCTTTACAGGTTTTTTATTGGCAATTTTAGGAAAATCTACTGGGTTGCCCTGGAAAATTCACTTTTCTGGTACCCATTAAAATTTTCTAAACATCCAGCAAGCTCTCACATTTGTCCTACATCTTTTGAAATTCTCCTAAACATTTTAAAAGCTCTTATAATTAAAAAATTTTTTTAGAAACTAGTAATAACAAAACAGTTTATACTACTTTAAAGTTATAATTACAACTTAGTTACCTCAGTCTACTCAACATGCCTACTCTTAGTACTGTAGCACCTGATACCCTAGATCTCGATTACTTCTTTGAAAACTATACTGATTCTTATGGAATTGCTATTTATGAAAAAAAACTCAAAAATGTTAGAGCTATTCCTAACAAATAAAAGTCAGCTAAATGTGTTACTATAGAATTGAGAACCCATCCAGCTACACATTTTTTCCCAGTTCCTCTAACAACTGAAACTATTAAGTGTCTGTATGAATTATTTCATACTCAATTTATCTCAGAAAATAACAAAACATATGAAATCACCAATACAATCGAATCAACAACAACTAACTCACAAACCAAAAAACTTTGACAAGCACTTCACAAATCCATATCAAATGTCCTACCATCTCCTTCATCAACTATTCAAATACATACTTGTTCCAAGTGTCAAATTCCAATCAACTGCAAAGTTACTAACAATAACTATGGATTGCAAAATGAAACTATGTTTTATAAAAATGAAGCAAATCACAACAACTGTCTTGCTGAAATTTATAAATAAACCAAATTAACTGATCAACACAATCCTCAACCTATCATCAATCCTAAACAAGGTTCCTCAGTACAACACAAGTTTCCAGTCCAACAACCAATCCAATCCTTAAATAATAATCATCTAAACAACTCTTCTATTCCCGAGTTTACACCTTCTTAAATAATTTCTAATGAAACAACTAATACTGTTACAGAGTTGTAGCCTTCTTGGTACAATACAACCAAGTAACAAGGTCACCCAGTACAGTGATTGACTATTGCAAATATATATAGGGTGGAGGTGTAGTAGTTCACTTTACTACACAGCAGCAGGCAAACAGTTCGAGATAGTAACAGTATATGGATTAGCTTTTATTAAATAAACACACAGTGACAACTTTGTTTGTAGAAATTATCCTAGAGGGAAAATACCACTTTTACAAGTTAGAAGTAAAGGTAGAAGGGTCTAGGTTGAAGTATAGAAACTTAGAATTGGCAGAGAAGAGTAAAAGCTACCCTTTATATATCTTTTTACCTAGTAGGAATAGTGGAGATTTGAGCAACATTACTTGATACTGTATTCAGGGTAATGGAAGTTCGAACAACATTAGATATTATTGTAGTTGAGATAGTAGAGGTTCAAACAATATTAAATAATACTGTGCTTGGGGTAGTGAGAACTGTGCAGAGGCAACTGGGAATATTATTTATATCATTTGTCATTTGTGCTTAAAACACTTGGGGCTTGTGTTTAGGTGCTTGGATCTGTATAAAGGCACTTAGAATTTGTGCAAAGATATTTAGGGTTCATGTAGGAACACTTGGGGTTCATGGTGGAGACACTTGGGATTTTTGTGCTGTGACACTTGGCACAGTAATTTGGTACTAGAATATATGAAACTTGTACAAGGGTACTTGGGGTTTGTAAGACGATAGTAACATCACAGATGTTACTTAGTGTCATGTGGCTGTACTACATTGCTAATAGCCAATTAAGATCCTTATCTATCTACTATATAATATAACTATCAACTAACTAATAACTAATAACTAATAATAATAAATATAAGATATAAAA